TGTATTTTCTGAGGGTCAGTAATCAGAGAGAAGCTTAGCTGGGCAAGTCTGGCTCAGGCCATTTGAAGATGTTGCAGCCAGGCTCCCCATCCAGGTAGAGGCCATGGGAGGCCAGGCCATCTGCTTCCAAGCTTACTTACTTGGTAGTTCATGACAGGCAAATCCTAGTTGGCTTTGAGACCAAGGACCTTATTTCTTTATCACTTGGGCCTCTCTGCAGGGGTGCCCAAGTGTCCTTAATAGGTCCAACACAAGGTTATGGATGGCCGCCATTCCTGTCGCTGAGTGTGATCAAATAGTACAAATCCTGATATCTATTTCATAGGATTTTTTTTAACTAGCAACTATTATACAAAAATGGAATATACATCAAGAAATCACTATATGGGGGCTGGTGAGACGGCTCAGAAGTTAAGAGTACTGGCTGTTCTTCCAGAGGTTTTAAGTTCAACTCCCAGCTTATGAATTCTTATACTTACAGGGTAACCAAGGTATTGCCTATGGGTGGTTCTGACAGTGGGGTTTAACCCTCTGAAGAAAATGAGGAAGTTACAGTAGAGATTCCCTTAGACCTGTGGAGCATATTGTACTCTGTTCCCCCCAAACTTGATCCCCATCAGAAGACCCAGGAAGTGAGCGTAGGCAGATAGAAGGGATATTTACCTCCTCACTGCTGTGTTGGAGGAGCTTAAGCAGGTAAAAGAATACGCTAATTGGTACAGAAGACCATCACAAGGTGGAGAGCAGGCAAAGAGGCTAAAGGCACTGGTTTCTCTTGCCCAGCACCAGGTTCAATTCCCAGCACCCACATGGCGCCTCACAGCCTACTTTGATTCCCATTCCCTCTGTGGGCACAAGGCTTGTATGTGGCGCACATATATACATGCAGGCAAAGCACTCATACACATAAAATGACTACATAAATCTTTAAAAAGAAGAGCACCAGAGGGGCCCTGTTGTGAACTCCTGAGTGGAATAAACCAGACCTCCAGCTCTCCTGTCCTGGTGCCAGGGGTTAAATTTCATGTCACCCCACGAACAGGGTTGTAATGGTGAATCTTTCTGTCATTTTATTGGCTTTTACATTATGCAGAGAACAAACCTCTGGTTGCATCTGTGGTTGTATTTCTAGGGAGGTTTGGTGGCAGTAGAAGACCCACTCTGACTGTGGGGGGCACCATTTCCTGTTCTCAGGGCAGGGACAGAACGAATAACCACCATCGGCATTTGTTGCTCTCTGTTTCCTGACTGCAGATGTGATGTGACCAACTGTCGCATGCTCCTGCTTTCCCATCTTGGTGCCACCCAGGGCTGTGTGCTGGTTTGGATGATAATGGCTCCCACAGGCTCCTAAACTGGAAGGCTTTGAATAGTTGGCAGGATGTTTGAGAAGGATTAGAAGGTGTGGCCTTGTTGGAAAGTCATGTCACTGGGAGTGGGCTCTGAGGTTTCAAAAGTCTATAGCAACTGAAATTAGCTTTCCTTGCTGGCTTCTAGGGGATATAAGCCCCCAATCAAACACTTTCTTTTTCGAGTTGCCTTGGTCATGGTGTTTTATCAGAGCAATAGAAAACTCACTAAGACAGACGGTAGCTCCTTATAAACCACAAACAGAAACAAACTCTTGTTTTTAAGTTCTCTTTGTCACAGAAACGGATAAGAAAACAACAGAAACGTCTACTTACCTTCTACTGAAGTGACTGTGGCCAGATGCCGCTTTCCTCCTGAAGAGTCAACCCTTTCTTTCTCTCTCTAAGGAAGTAGTTTGAGCTCAGGCAGGGTCCGCTCCTCACACAATTCTTATGCAGACCGAGGATGCTCAGCAAAGGAAGTGGTGAACTGTGAAGTTCTGAGGTCCTCCTGTGACACCCAGAGCCCAAGGCGGAGGAGGAGCTGAGAGTGCTCTGATCTCTGACCGTCCTGGATTTCCTTCCAGATCCCGTCCACCACAAGCCCCTGTTTTCTGTTCTGCAGTTTCTTCCCCTAGGTTCTTTGTGCCTGAGCTCTTATGGGATGAGGCCTGCAGTAAGGGCTGGTTTGGTTCCCATTTTTGGACACTGCATATTCAGCCAGTTCCTTAACCTTCTCAGAGGGGCGGAGCCTAACTCCAGGCTTTGCATATTCTGCCCAGAGAGGATCACAGTTCGGTCAACGGGTCAGGCTTTTTCTGGGTCTCTGTAGAACCCATCTTCCCAGGACAATATTAATCCCGGAGCTGCCCCTTGGATGACTGCACACCTCACCCCGCCTGCTCCCTGGCAAGCCTCCTTTCTTCTCATCTGCTTCCTCTACTTCACCATCTTCACAAGAGTGATGATTTCATCCAGAAAGAGAAGCGGTCTCCCGTCAGTATGCAGGAGACTGAGAGGAAAGGGGCGCTGAGCTGGGGTAGGAGGGGGAGCTCAATTTCCTAAGAGCTCAGAACCGTTTGGTGAATGGTTGACTTCTGGATGGAGCCAGGGACTGGGTTCACCTTGTCAAAGCAGCACTAACACTTGTGTTCTTCCCAAGATGGAGGTGAGATGGGCTGGGGGATTCTAGGAAAAGCAGGTGCAGGGCACAGGAGCCAAGCTTCCTTCAGAAGGCCAGGGCAGCTCTGTTATGGCCTTTGCTGTTTGGTAATTACGGGAAGTTCTCTCTGCAAATCTGAGTACAGAGGAGCAGGAGTGGAGCGCAGAGCTGAACCTATGTCTTAAGCAGGAAGGAGACAAGCTGGGCAGGACAGGAGCTGGGTGTCTCATGCAACACCCATGTGCCTTGCTCTGGAGCCCTGAGCACAAATCCTGCCCATCACACTGCCAGATCTCCTCTCTCTTGTGTTGCAATGTCCTGTTTCTCTGTTCCTGACTTCCTCCCACCCAAGCAGGAAGGGGCTCAGGGTCGGCACAGGCACCTCCAAGGCAGAATCAGAGTTGTCATTGTGACTTCCCTTGGTACCCAGCATTGGCTCCACCTCCACTTTTTTTCTCCCTTTCATTTGTCTATCTTGGATTTTTGAGTCAAAATCTCAGTCTCTTTCCCTGGCAGCCTGGAACTCTATGTATAATTGAAGTCATCCAGGGAATTGCAGTGTTTGTTCTTTGGCTTTGACAAGAATTGAATGAGCAGAAAGACAGAAGACCAAGCCAGACCACCATGTGGGTGCTGGGAATCGAACCTGGGTCGTCTAGAGGAGCAGCCAGTGCTCTTCACCGTGGAGCCATCCCTCCAGCCCCTCCTGTCAGTTTAATTATCTGTGTCACACACCTCAGCAGACCAGGGTGAGGGTTTCTGTAATAAACGTTTCTGAACCCAAACTGCTTCCATTCTTAGCTTTCAAAGCTATGCCCCAAGCTGAGGGAAGGGAAGCCTGGGCCTGAGCTTCTTGGAGGATATCTTTAAGAAGATAAGTTTCCTCTTCATGAGGAGGCAGGGCAATTGAACCAGCTCCAGTCAGGAAGAAAGGACTAATGGGCCACAAACATGTTTGTCTGTCCTTTTTTTTTCATTTATTTATTTATTTATTTTATTTATTTATTTAATTTATTATGTTTGTTGGTGTGAAGGTGTCAGATCTCGTGGAACTGCATTTTCAGACAGTTGTGAGCTGCCATGTGGTTGCTGGGAATCGAACCCGGGTCCTCTGGAAGAGCAGTCAGTGCTCTTAACCGCTGAGCCATCTCTCCAGCCCCTTGTCTGTCCTTCTTAAAACAAAGCAATTCTGTTTTCCCCCATTTACTCTGTTTCCGTAATTTCTTAGAAAGTACAGTTTTTATTAGATCTTTGAGTATTTCATGCATGCAATGCATTTGATCATATTCATGCATGTTCTCTCCCTACCTCCTCCCAGGTCCACTCCTACTTCCTGAGTTCCCTTCCAGCTTCATGTCCTCTTTTCTTTTTCATTATAATCCAGAGTCCAATATGTGCTGCCCATACACCCATGAGGGTGGGGCATATTTTTCCTATGGGGAACCACCCCCATCCTTAAAGAAAATGGATTTTCCCTCACAGGAAATCCAGAACTCAATGGAGGGGGCTCAATCTACTCCAGGGCAGTCTCTCAAGCGCCAAACTTTCCATGCATTGATACATATATCCCATGCCCATCTTAAGATGCTGGAGCAAGTCTTGGATTTTCCATGACTTCTGCAAGTTTGTTTTCTGTACGTTGCTGGAGTGATAGGAAAAAAAAAAATCAAAGATGCTTGTTGCTTAGAATGAGGATGAATGTGCGAACGACCTTGGCACACCTCCCTGCTGTGTGAGACACTTGGAACCGGAGCTTCTGATGCCCTGTGTTGATAGTAAGGTTGTTCTGTCTAATCATTCATTCGCTGTAGACACACAGGTGAAAACATGAGGCATGATTAATAGAACCCAGAGACAGATATTGGGGTTCAACCTGAAGGTCAGAAAAGCAGAGCAGTCAGTCACTGGCTCTTACCTCTCTCTCAGTCCGAAATAGGGATCCTGCCTCCATGAATCTCAGAATGAGACTGTGTCTGAAACCTGTCTCCTCTCATCTCTTATTCCTTTCTAGGACTGGACTAAAGGTGTGCACCACTACCACCTGGTTTCTATGGCAAACTCGTGTGGCTGCTGGGATTAAACGTGTGTGCCACCATTGCCTGGTCTGTAAGGCTCATCAGTGGGGGTGTTTTCCTCTCTGATCTTCAGGCAAGCTTTATTTATTAAAATTCAAATGAAATATCACTACAAAAACCATGCTGCTAAGGGTGCAGTTCAGGTATTTCTCTGTTGTCCGGTTCTGGAATGTCCATGAGGACTTTCTTCCTATTGCTTTTTTTTTTCATGTGTTCAATCAGTGGTTTCCTCGTACAGTTCATAGATTTAGCCCTGAGTATAGCATTCTGATGTCCGAGAAACTGTAGGCAGGATTCATGCTCGTCCATTCCACACATATCACACACATCACAACCACACATAGGATAAACAGACTGGAAGTTTGCATACACTACAGGCGGAGTGGGTAGAAACTCAAAGAACAGTTGATGATCAATGGGCAGTTACTTATTTTATTTTGTTTGTTTCATTTTTGTTGAGATAGGGTTTGTGATAGTTTGAAGTAATTGCTCCCCTTAAGTCATGGGGAGTGGCACTATTAGGAGGTGTGGCATTGTTGGAGGAAGTATAACCTTGCTGGAGGAAGTGTGTCATTGTGGGGGTGGACTTTAAGGTCTCTTTTGCTCAAGATTCCCTCAGTGTGACTGTCAGACCATTTCCTGTTGCCTGCAATGTAGGACTCTCAACTACTTCTCCAGCACCATGGTCCTTGATAATTGTAATGGGTTAAGTAAAAATGCTACGGATCCCCAGTGGCTGCAGCAGGCAGTGGGCCATGAGACCATACTGCAGGTCCTCTAGTGGGGCCAGGCAGCAGGCACTGGGTTGCGAGAGCAGACAGTCCCAGGCAGGGATGGGGCAGTTCCCCAAGTGGCTGCAGTGGACCACGAATTCCAGGCAGGGATGGCGCAGGGGCAGGGAGTCCTATGAGGAGAGACAGATGGATGGGCACAACATGAGATCATGCCACAGGTCTCAGAAGGCAGCTGATCCTGGGGAGGGAGCTACATGGCAGGCGAGAGACATAAGGATAGGCACATCATGCAGAGTGAGTTTGGATATTTATTTACTGGGTTATGGAAGAAAAGGGGAGAAGGGGGAAGGGGAGAAGGGGGAAGAGCAGAGAGAAACAGAGAGAGACAGAGAGGGCGAAAGGGGAGAAGTGGTGAGAATGGAGCAAGGCAGAAGCTGTTTCTTTGTGGGAGGGACATAAAAGAGAAGGGACTCAGGCTGGAAGCTGAAGATCAGCCTCAACGGACAGGGAGAGAGTGGGTGTGGCTTGTCTCTTAAAGGGACAGAACATTACATTAATAATGGACTGAATAGGGGGCTGGAGAGATGGCTCAGCGGTTGAGAGCATTGCCTGCTCTTCCAGAGGTCCTGAGTTCAGTTCCCAGCAACCACATGGTGGCTCACAACCATCTGTAATGAGGTCTGGTGCCCTCTTCTGGCCTTCAGGCATACACACAGACAGAACATTGTATACATAATAAATAAATATTTAAAAAAAATAATGGACTGAATATCTGAATTAAATGTTTCCACCCCAATTAAATGTTTCCTTTACAAGAGTTGCTGTGGTCTTGGTGTCTCTTCACAGTGTCAGAAACCCTAACTCAGACAGAAGTTGGTACCAGGAGTGGGGTATTGCTGTTACAGGTCTGACCATGCTTTTGTTTGAAGGAATATGGACGTTAGGACTGTGGGTTAGAAAAGCAGTTGAATGCTTTAAGTACTGCTTAATGGGCCATACTGGTACTAGCATGGAAGACAGTGGTGTTGAATGTGATTTGATGAATGTGGGCATTTGCTCAAGAGTTTATATGGGAGAATTTTAGTATGCTGCCTTAGTAGATAGCTCTTGTGACATTTTAGTGAAGAAAGTAGCTGTCTTCTGCCCTTGTCTGAAGAGTCTGCCTGAGGCTAAAGTTAAGACTTTTGGATTAATTCCATTGGCAGAAGAAATATCAAAATAGCCCGGTATGTACTATGTCAGGTTAACTCTAATGAAAATTTATAATGAAAAAGAGCAATCTGAGCAGGGTAAATTATAAAATATAAATTTTAAGGAGGAAAAAAGCATTAGGAAGTAGAATAGAGCAAATCCTGTGTCCAAGAAGATAAACAGATTAAGAAATATACTAAAGGGAGTGGTGACCTCAGGGTAAAATCCCACCCAGATAAAATTTCAACTCGTGAAAAGGAGCTAGAGAAAAGTTTAGAGTCTGGTGTGGTGGCGCACACCTTTAATCCCAGCACTGGGAAGGCAGAGGCTGGCCTGTCTCTGAGTCTGAGGCCAGCCTGGTCTACAGAGTAAATTTCCAAACGGCCAAGCTGAGGCAGTGATGGGAACCATCAAGACCAGGTAGCTGGTAAAGATGTAAATGAACAAGGGAGCCATGTTCTAGCCCCAGCAAGCAGCGGAACTTGGCAGCTACGGCCATGTGGTTCTGGACTTAGAGCTAAGGATAGAAGAAAGGGGTCATGGGATTTGCCTCTGCCCTTAAGGAAGGCTGCTGAGGCTCTTGTGTCCATCCTGGAGGTAGCATGGACAATGCTCACAGTCCCATCTACCATGTGGCTCTTGTGTCCAGGAGATACCGCCTCATGTGTTCTGGGAATCAGCCCCCTGTCCTTCATAACTCCAAAAGATATTCTTGTGGCAATGCCTGGAGAATCTCCATGAGACAAAAGATCCAAGTTTAATTTCAGAAGGATATTATAAGTCACTTGTTATATACCCATGTGTTCTCATCATGATATTATAGTGGGAGACAGTTTTTCCCATGTGTGTTTACGTTGTTGATGACTCTTCTTCAGCTGCCACAGACTCTGAAAGAGGTGAATCCTCTGGTCTTTCATAGAAAATATTTGCTGCTTCAAAGTAGTTCATAAGTCAGTGACCAAAGCCAGCCTGAAGGTAAGTGCCTCATAGCTCCATCGCTGCTTCCCAGTATTCTGGGGGGTTAGCCAGCTTCTCTGATAAAAACTCCTTATTGAGAAGAGTCTTGGCATCACTTGCCACTGTATCAATGAAGAGATTTTTCAAATAGAAAGTCTTTCTAAAGTAAAGGCCTGTGGCAAGTAGCCCCCCAGTAACAGAGGAAATATATTCAATGTATTTCCATAGTTTGTTTTCTAAGGACATGTCGTTGGTCCTCGTTAGCAAATGGAGAGACTTAAGGTGTGCCTTGATTTCACTGACAGACACGTTAAAATCCTTGGCAATATTTTCCAGCGAGGCATCATCCAGCCCAAAGTAGGACCTGTAGAGATCCAAGGTCTCCTCTACCTTCTGGATCTTATCTCTGACCAAGCCCCCAAATGGAATGGTGGCCCAAGCTCCGGCCTTCAAGGCCTCCAGCCGGATCTTCTGTTTCAGGAAATCCCTCTTCCGGTCAATGGCAGTCTCAGTAACACTGTGCAAGGACAGCATGAAGACATGGCGCTTGTGGGCTGGGAGCTCGCTCAGTAGGGTGGTCTCCAGCTCTGGGAAGTCAAAGTCAGACACATCAAAGTTAGAGACCAAGAAAACTGGGGGCTCACTGGAGAGAGTCTCCTGGAGATGCCTTGAACAGTCGTCTCGGATTTTCTTTAAGACGCTGTCTCTATTGAAAGTCTTAGGTTTACCTTTCTGTTCATTATTTACATCTTGATCTATCTTGGTTCGGACAAAGTAGAACTTTGTATTCATCTTGGCCATGACTTTGGCCAGATGGACATCAGTGTCTTTGAAGCGTGTAGCTGAGATGATAATAAAGAAGTCATAATCACCAAACTTCATGTCTGTTAGGTACTTTTCAGGAGGGAAGGACGTGGACCCAATGCCAGGCAGGTCCCATATTGTCACCATGGGAAGCTTTGGGTGTGGGTATGGAGTTCTCTCCATGGTTGTCTCTACCACCCCAGTGGCAGCTGCGCCTTCTTCTTCATCCCTCACTCCTCTCAGGGCATTGATAAAGCTGGATTTGCCTACCCCTGCTTCTCCCGTCACTGCGATGTTCAGTGGGGCTCTGTCGATGTTTCTGAGAGCATTGCTGATTGCAGAAACCGCTCCCGGGAGGTTCTTATTCTCCAGGTGGGATTCAATCAAGGTGATAGTTTCCTCAGAGAGAATTTTGTTTTCCTTCTTGAAGTTCTTAAAAAAAATTTCAAAGCTGGATTCCAAAAGCTGGGCCGTTGAAGGGGAGGGTCTGGAAGGCTTACATGCAGATGTTTCCAGGAAAAGATGCTGAAGAGAGGAGACAAGAGAGACATTGCAATTATGAGTGCAGCAGAGCAGGGCCTAGGGCTTTGCTGTTTCAGTAAAGCAGGACTTCATCCTCCGTGCCCTTTAGAGGCAGACACTCCCTTGTACCTTGTAGGCTGTTGCCTTGATTTCTGGAAAATGTCCTCTTTCTCAGGCTCTACTTCTCCTGTGACTTCCCTCTTTCCTTGCTGTCTGATTCAACGTCCACTTATTCCATGCAATTACCTTCCCTTGTGTTTATATCTTATCTATAATTATCTTCAGATTGTGTTTACTCCTTTTAAAGTTACCACCCGTGCAATGTCACTATGGGCAGAGATGAGCAGCACAGCAAATCCTCCAGCAGCATCTCTCCTGGGAAGGCTCCCTGCCTCTTGTGAGCTCACAAGCATTGCTCTTAGGCCTCATGCCCTCTGCTCCCTTAGCACAGCTCTCCTGGCTTCTCTTGGGAGGAGTGTGAATGAAGGGAGAAAGGACATGAGGTAGGGAGTGGGCAAGATTCATTACGTGACCCACAGAGGGGTGGACACATCACTACCCAGGTGTGATGGACTTTGTTCTAGCCATAAAGAAGATGGAAACTATGGCATTTGTAGGAAATCAGATGTATCTGGAGATAATTGTTTTAAGTCATTAAACCAGTCGCAGAAAGAGAAATATATTTTGTTATTCATAAATTGATGGAGGAAGGCCATTCGTTAATTAATAAAGAAACTGCTTGGCCCTTATAGGTTAGAACATAGGTGTAAACAGAACAGAATGCTGGGAGGAAGAGGAAGTGAGCTCAGACGCCATGTTCCCCTCTCCCGGGCAGACGCAATGAAGCAAGCCACCAGGTCAGACATGCTGAATCTCTCCCGGTAAGACTGGTGCTGCACAGATTACTAAATATGGGTTAAGACAAGATGTGAGAATTAGCCATTAAGAGGCTAGAACTAATGGGCCAAGCAGTGAAGAATACAATTTGTGTGTTGTTATTTCGGGGCATAAGCTAGCCAGGCAGCCGGGAGCTGGGTGGCAGAAACGCAGCCTGCAGCTCCTTCAACAATGAATCTTAGATTTTATATAGTTACATACGTATGTATGATACGAAAGGGAAAGAGAAACTATCTCAGGAACAAAGGAACTAATAGGGGCTATACTTAACATGTAGTATGTGCTTGTTTGAAAACTTAAAAATGGATAAATTTAAAAAATCATTATTAAAAATCTATGTTATTCCTTATTTTCAACAGGGGAAGTAGGGGGCAGCCTCATTGGTAAGCAAATTCCCCATGTGCCCCTGCTTTCTAGTGGTTTGGTCTTTAAATCTTAGGCAAACAACCAACAAAAATAAAAAATCTCAAACTGGACACAGAGAAAGAGAGAGAAAAAGAGAGAGAGAGAGAGAGAGAGAGAGAGAGAGAGAGAACACAAAGAAGACACTAAAAAATGCGTCCTCGGGCTGGAGAGATGCCTCAGAGGTTAAGAGCACTGACTGTTCTTCCAGAGGTCCCGAGTTCAATTCCCAGCAACCACATGGTGGCTCACAACCATCTATAATGAGATCTGGTGCCCTCTTCTGGCCTACTGGCATACATGGAAGGAATGTTGTATAGATAATAAACAAATAAATCTAAAAAAATTTTAAAAAATGTGTCCTCATTTTCTTAAAGTTAAAAAACCTGAAGCTGGGTGGTGGTGGTGGTGCACGCCTTTAATCCCAGTACTTGGGAGGCAGAGGTAGGCAGATCTCTATGAGTTTGAGGCCAGCCTGGTCTATAAGAGCTAGTTCCAGGACAGGCTCCAAAGCTACAGAGAAACCCTGTCTCGAAAAACAAAACAAAACAACAACAACCAAAGAAACCTGAAGAAATGAATTCCCATCAAACCCCTTCCCTGAAAAAGCATCAATTTTTAAAGCAGAAGAGGTGGGGCAAGCTCAGACAGGTTCCATTGGGATGTGACACATGCTTCCCTTAAATGTCCACAGATTTCATATTTTGGACTCTATATGTCACATCCAGTTACTGTCATATACTTACAGTTTATTATGATCTTACAAGAATATTAAAACTTTTTAATTCATGAATTGTATAAAACCAGACTCCATGATAGCTTTGAGTGTAGATCTACGTTTATCAATTCTGATCCTAAAGATACCAGAGCTTTGGGAGAAGGTGCAGATCTACACTTGTATCCTTTTCTTTTGATGTTGAAAACACAGACAGGGCACTAGAATTGCAACTAGAACAGAAGGTAAAAGCCGGCAGTCATGAGAGACTGGCTTCAAGTTGCTCTAATATTCTGGCATATGATATAATTCAATATAGGAGCTTCAGGTATACAGAATTCTATTTGTGATTCTGCCAATCACCTTGTTGGAAGCCATGTCACCAATAACAGTAAGGGAAGTGGGGGGAATGACACAGCATTACAGATGCTACAGTCATTCAGAGTAATACATGAAAAAATCAAAACTCTCAGGTGAATAACTTGAGATGTTGTGTGTGAAGCTGCATGCGTGTGTGCAAGTGCACATGTATGTAGTATGAGTCCTAGGAGTCTGCCTGTCTCTGCCTCTCCGGTGCTAGAACTCTGCCCACAACTGATTGACAAGTAGAAACAATGTTTAGGAACTCCTGGTCATTGTGGCTACAGAAATGAATATAAATTCTTGTATGATGCATTGCTTACACTGTACTATTCATGTCACAGTTGCTTGTAATGCATGAGAGTCCCCAGTCTTGTGTGACCAGCTGAGACAATAGTTCTCCACAATTCTGACATGGAATGGACTGAGACAAAACTCACTAAATGCCACCAGAATGAAGACATAGCACCTACACTGTGATGGTCAGCAGGAAATAGACCCAATATCACATAACAAGCCAACCTCCTAAGACACATTTTCTGGAGAAGTTGCTTAGTACAGATATCCTATTTAAGTAGTAGAGATTTCCACTGAGAAGCAAGAATTATTACATAGAACACAAGAATTATTAAAAATGGCCAAGGCAGTGATACACTCTCTAGTAAAAGATTCTGAAGAAGTTAAAATAAATGGCATTTCTTTTAAATATTTCAAAAACAATGATAAAAATTCCAATCACATGAGCAGCAGAAGAAATGTTAAAGGAGGAAATGCATAGGATGAGTATTAGAGTCTATATGATAAGGAGGAGAAGAAGGGACTCTTCGGGAAAAAGGAGCTAGCCAGACATGCACAAGGGCATGATGAAGGGTATCAGGGTAATAGGTAAGAACATATGAATGAATAAGAACATATCAGAATGAATGAGAATGTATAACAGTACACTTGTATGTAAATGCCATAATATAACCCACTATCTTGTATGTAAACCAAAAACTATAATAAAAAAACAAGAAAAAAAATCTTTCTGAAATCCAAAGAATACTGATGAATGAAATTAGAATGATAATGCACGATTTGCTTTAGAAAATCTGAAGTGTAAAAATTTGAAAGAAACCTTGAAAGTCTGTTTATAATAGACACAGATACACATATAGCGGATAGGAAGGTAAAGAGAAAAGAAAGGAAGGGAAAGGAAAGAAAAAGAGAGGAGAGGAAAGATAAAAAGGAAAGGAAAGGCAGGGAGCAATCAAATTCAATTATTAACCAAGGAAATGGAAAGCATTGAACAATGCTCACAAAACACTGATGAAAGAAATCTCAAACAAGGTTACAAAAGATGCTAAGATTGCCAGGTTTATAGCTTATAAATGACCCTAAATGTTGTCAAATTGTCCATACTTTGCATAGTAATCTTCAGTCCCAATTAAATCTCATCAAAAATATCAGTGTCATTTAAAATTGATGTAGTATTGTCATCTGTCAATCTGTTTGTGTTGATTTCATTGGTTAATAAAGAAATTGCCTTGGCCCATTTCATAGGCCAGCCTTTAGGTGGGTGGAGTAGACAGAACAGAATGCTGGGAAGAAGGGAAGTGAGTTAGTCACCATGATTCTCCCACCCGAGACAGACGCAGGTTAAGATCGTTCCTGGTAAGCCACCTCATGGTGCTACACAGATTACTAAATATGGGTTAAAGCAAGATGTGAGAATTAGCCAATAAGAGGCTAGAGATAACGGGCTAGGCAGTATTTAAAAGAATACAGTATCCGTGTAATTATTTTGGGTAAAGCTAGCTGGTGGCCGGGAACTGGGAGGCGGGAAGTGCCCTGCAGCTCCTACTACATAAAATAGAACTAGATGTGGAATGATAAAATGTACATGGAAGCACAAGCAAATGCTAATGACCTAACAGCATTGGTCAAAAAAACAAACAAAACAAAACAAAATAGGGCAAGGAGGCACCAAAATACCTGCTTTCAAGGAATAAAACAGAACCGCAGAAAACAGTCTGACAGTGGCATGGAAATGGGTCTATAGTCCCACCACCTGAGCAGAAGAGAGGACCCAGAAATGTCGGCATACATGTACAGCCACCTGGGGGTACCTACACTCAATCAACATCTCAGTGAGGCTTCCAAAACTAATATTGCACAAAGGGCACAGTGTTCGACAAGCAGAACTGGGCAAACTGCACATCAGGCAAGACTAAAACATGACCCTATACAAAAACCAACTCAGCTGGCCAATGAGCTTGATATAAGAAGGGAAATTTGAAATTCCTAAAGGGAAATGTATATGATAAACTTCATCGGAACATCAGGACATAGGGACCCATAGCATATGAAACAAAAGCAAACTGACGACAAGGATTCCATCTAATGGAAATATTTCATAAAAACAAAGCAAATGAACACCACAGCAATGAGACAATTTGTAAGGGAAAAACCTTAAGAGTTGCATCCTGTAAGTCTGAATCTGAGAGACCATTGGTGTGGGAAGTCTTTCTGTCTATGTGTTGCTTTTATTGGTTAATAAAGAAACTGCTTTTGCCCAATGGCTTAACAGAGTAAAGCCAGGCTGAATGAGATATATATAGAGAGTAGGCGGAGTCAGCAGGAAGTCTTGTAGCCATTACTGGAGTCAGACGTGCTGGAACCTTGCCGGTAAGCCTCAGACACGTGGTGATACACAGATGAATAGAAATGGGAACCAGCGATATAAGAGCTAGCTAGCAATATACTTAAGCTATTGGTCAAACAGCATTGCAAAGAATATATTTCTGTGTGGCTATTTTGGGTCTAAGCAGCCGGGAACGAACAAGCAGCCTTCTCCAACAGATCATAAGATTTCAACAGGTGCAGAAAATGGACTTGGAAACACCGTGAAACATTTCAACAAAATGCAATAGAAAGGTTCTTCCTGGAACAACTGTGGAAAACAGTTTTGATGCATTGATGCCTCCTAATATAGAGAGGCTTTGGGGTTGAAATGAACTTACCCTCTCTGTGAAAAGCTCTTCTTTGCTAAGGAGAATTTTAACATCATTTGCCACAGTGTCAATGAAGAAATTTTGCAAATGGAAAGTCTTTGAAAAGTAAGGACGGCTAATGTACTCCAAAAGTTTATCTGTTAAGGATTTACCCTGCTCTTCTGAGAACAAATGCGGAGACTTAATGTTCTCCTTGAGTTCCTCCAGGGCCACGTGCGAATCCTCAGCGATGTTTTCCAGGGATGCCTCATCCAGGCCAAAGGAAGATCTGCAGAAGTTCAAAGTCTCTTTTAACTTCTCTATGTCATTTTTGGTCAAGCCCTTAAATGGTATGGTGACCCATGCTCTTGGCATTACGGAATCCCTCCAGACCTTCTGTTTCAGTGTGTCCCTCTTCTGGTCTATGGCAGACTGTGTAACAACTGACAAAGTGAGCATGAAGATGTGATGTTTGTGGTCTGGGAGCTCCCTCAGAAGGGTGGCCTCCAGCTCTGGGAAGTCAAAGTCAGACACATCAAAGTTAGAGACTAAGAAGACTGGAGGCTCCTGCTGGGTCACTTCCTTAAGTATACTTGAGATGGAATTTCGAATCTGCTTTAAGGTGTTCTCTCTATTGAATCTCTGAGGACTACACTGTTTTTGAGCCATTAGATCATTGTCTGTGTGGGTTTGAACAAAATAGAAACGCCTATTCACTTGCACGATGGCTTTGGCTAGTTCTGCATCATTGTGTTTAAAGCGTCCAGAAGAGACAATAATGAAGAAGTCATACTCCTCAAACTTGATTTTCTTCAGGTAATCTTGTGGTTGGAAGGCAGTGGACCCGATGCCCGGCAGGTCCCAGAGTGTCACACTGGGAGCCTTGGAGTATGGGTATGGTTTTCTCTCAGTGGTGGTACATACCACTCCGGTGGAAGCAGCCGCACCCTCTTCATCAGACCTCACTCCCTGTAGAGCATTGATGAGACTGGATTTTCCAGCCCCAATCTCCCCCATCACTGCGATGTTTAGTGGGATTTTCTCGATGTCACTCAGAGCATCGCTGATTGCAGAAACTGTTCCCCGCAGGTTTCCGTCCTTTAGGTATGATCCAATCAAGGTGGTTAATTCCTGAGACAGGATCTTGGTTTCCATCTTGAAATTGTAAAGATTTGTGTCCAAGCTGGAGGTCAAATCAGGCTCCTCCTTCTGAGGGGGTGTAGAAGAGGAGGACTGACCCATGGCTGGTAACAGTTGATGGTGCTAAGGGAGGAAAGAACCAGGAAGGTCAAAGAATTAGTTCAGAAAGAGCAAGCCAACGGGAAAGCAAAGTCCCTTAAACCACACATATTACAAATGGGGTCTTTCCCTCTTTTAATCAAATGCTCAGGACTCAAATGCATTTACTTCTAGCCTGATTGTATATTTTGGCTTGACTGAGACTCCTTTACCCTTGACCATTTTCCTCTTTGAAGCACTTTTAGTTCATCAAGATAAATTCAGACCTATACCAGCAGCACTAAGGAGGTCGTGCTATGGATCACATGGTATGCCGTCATTCACCAAAACAGAAAAGCTCTTAAAGTTCTGTTTGAAATCACAAAAGATCCCAGACAGAGAAAGTAATGCCAAGGCGGGGAAAATGCTGAGGCCATCACTGTTCTTGGTCTTAAGTTCTGTTCCAGAACCAGGGTAACACAAGCACCTTTGTGGGCCCCTAGCAGTTGTCCCCCAGCTTCACTTCGAAATGGCTGCCGTTTCTCAAGAATGACCTGTCCCTGACTTCAAACATCCAGACAGAGGCTCTGATACTCAGAATTTGCCTCTTGGCCTGCCTCATACACGCTACCATCTGAACCAGGTATCTGTGGGATTGCTGGGAAGCACAGAATAGAACCCATGGCCATGGAAGATTTTCGAAAGGAAGCGACATCTAAGCAAGGTGTGGAATGCTGTGTGGAGCCGGCTGGGCAAATGGAAAGGGCGGGAGTGAAGAGAGCGCGTGCGTGGAGATAAAGATGGCGCACTGCGGTGCATCTGGAGAACTGCCAGTCGACCTGTAGCTGGAACGAGGAGTTCAAATTCACAAGTGAGGAGAAAGCGTGGGAGCAGTCAAGGGTTGATTTGAGCGATTCAATAGTGAGAGATGGTGCCACTTAGGGACACCTGGAAAGATGCAGGATACAAAGTGGAAGAGATCCTGAATCTGGGAGCGGCATCTTTGCAGCTTCCGACTGACACCCACAGCAGGAACTCCATTTGACACAGGACCCAATGTGGGTGCACTCATAGCACCATGGTATAGAAAAGAGTTTACTACTCAGGTGTGCTGTCTGGTCTATTCTGTTGGTGTTCACTGAATTTAAAAAATTATATTATCTTCCAATTGGTCAACTTTAACAAATGTGCTTGTACCTTACCAAATAAACAAATGAGTTAATACAAAATGAAGGCTGTTCATGAATAGATTTCCTATGCTAGGCTCTATGCACTTCTTGTTTTATGTAACTAATCTGAACTTCCATCAAAGGACTGAGAGACAAAAAAAAAACTACCCTAGCCTTGATATATTCTGATAAATATATGTATGAAACAATGAGAATTCTTGAAAGTGGGCAAAGTAGCCGCCATTGCGTATGTACATACATATTATGATAATAATTAAAGAATAGATCAGTAATTGAGAGATGGGAAAATTTGGAGTGAGGAGAGAGGGAACCTGGAGTGAGGTAGATGCAGTGTTCATGCATGAGGCTCTCAAAAAATATGCTAAATGACAAAAAATTTTGACATCTGAATAAAAAGAGAAAATTCCCTGATAATATTTGACTACTATATGGAAAGTTTGAGAGAATAATTAATGTGCTATTTTATTGCAGTAAAATATATATGCCTGCATGATCTTCAGGTTAGTCAGTACTGAGCATGGCATACTCTCTGAAGGGTTGGAAAAGGCCAAACCTCAGTAATTACTGAAGGAGTTTCTGCCCTGCCTCAGTTTCCTCAACGCAGAGAAAATAGCTGATCTGAGCCAGAGAAAAGACGACTTATAGCCTTCCTCTTCTAAACCCAACCCAAAGACCTTTCTACTCTACAGGTGGTCAAGGTCAAGTTCATGCTTTTTCATAGATTCGTTGTTCACCAGGAAATACCAGTGGGTGTTCTAATTATGGTGTTTTATCACTGTGGGGTAAATAAAATAGTTATAGTAAAACAGGGTGTGGTGGGACACGCCTTTCATCTCAGCACTAGCAGGAAGAGGTAGATAGATTCTGAGTTTGAGCCCGGCCTGATTTCATGTCCTAGACCAGCCAAAGGCACACAGAGGGATCCAGTTTCTAATAGCAACCAAAACAATGAAAACAACAAACAGCCCCAATAACAAAACCTACCCCAAACAGCTTACAGCAATGACTCTGGAGAGTCTGCTCACACAGCCTGCCCCCCTTCTCCACACTGATGCTCTCATCAGAAGAGCAACAGACCCAGGAATGTGCAGGAGATAGAAGAGATTGTTGCTGCCTCGCTGGTGGGTTGGGGTCCTCTGTGGTACAGAAGATGCAAAAGGGCCCAACCGTGAAAAATCCCTGACTGAAATAAACTGGAATACAAGCTCCTCTGCCCTGGTACCAGAAATTCCCCTGCCACGTCATAAGTAAGGAGGATTTCTGGTCAAGCTGCACTTAGATTCCTTCACATACCTGCTCCCCAGTGATGAAGTGAGTGACCCTCCTGTGATGTCCCCTCTTCCCTGGGAACTAGGTCGCTGGGGTAGCTGTCTATGGCGTCTTCTTAGCTGGGATGTCCAGCAGCCAGACCGAATGCTCAGTGCTGGGTTTCTGGTGTTTTCGGAAAGCAGAACAGCTGGGAAGCAAAGGCTGATCTGCCCAGATTTCCTTCCAGATCCTGCCCCTCACAGTCTCTGCTCTCTGCTCTGCACTTCCTAGATTCCAATCCTGCCAGCTTGTTCCCTAAAGGGAGGGGCTGCAGTCAGAGGAGGGTTTGGTTTCTGTTCTTTGAACTAGGGCATTGGTTTGCACAAATCAGGGAAATAGGTTTCACAACCTCCTTCAGACAGGGAGGCCGAGCTCTATATATCCAGGGTGCTTGGGACCTTGGAAGCCGACTCCAGTGTCCTCCTGTGCTCCCCAGCACTGACCATTTTACTCCACTACCTCAGGACCCTCTGTCAGCTGATGGCAACTATTGACCTTCATACCCATGGATCCCGGATTTCAGCGTTTGCAGACTCTTGCTGTAACCCCGCACCCTGTGTTGCTGTCCTGTTGATTGTCTCTCACCAGAGGGTGATGATGTAGGTGGACACGTATGTGCAGGTGCTCTTTTCACTCAGGACCATTCTCCTGACTTTGAGACAGACACTCTCACTGGCTCAGACTTCACCAATCAGACAAGGCTGCCTGCCAAGTGAGCTCCCGGGAGAAATGAATGATCTCCCTAGCCATTCGTGGAGATTTCCCTTGTGATGGCGAACACCATGTTTAGAGGATACATGTACTGTGGCTGTAAAAACAGCATTGTGTTCAGCTTGTAGAAGCCACAAGGAAGTTGTTCCTACTTTGAATGTGCCCTGTCAGCTGGCCTGAGATGGACCATTTCCTGATACAGTTGGGCTATTCTTAAAAAATTGCTAATTGCTGTAAAATATTTTACTGCTCCAGCTATTCCCACAAGGCAATGGGTCACAAGATTAAACAGGGTAATGTAAGGTTTGCTGTTTTTGGAGACGCTTGCTCGCTTGGATGGCTGTGCCGCCTGCTGGACATCACTTATCAAAACCAAGCCTTTCTCACACTCAGGGTATGAGTTAATTTTGCTACACCCAAAGTCCTAAAAAGTCATCATGATCCCATTTCCAAAGCAAAAGCAAAGTGTCTTTATTGTGAGTTTGCTTGGATACCTCTGTTCTTCCAGCAGCAACAGGAACAGCACAGGGGTTTGTGAAAAGAGGGTGTCTATATTGGGGAAGAGGCTTTGGGAATTCCAAGTCTCTGTGCTTGTGATTGGCTGCCCCCGAGTGGAGTGAAGGGAATTCCAGACTTCCAGAGTTGGCATTGGCTGTCCTCTCTGACGGAAAGCGATTTCCAGGCCTGAGGGAATTCCCAACTGCCTCTAGGTGCTCAGCGATTGGTCTGTTTTCCACGCTCAGGGATTGGGTGGTTTTGTGTCAGGGGCAGAGATAGCTTTGATTCTGGGATCAAACTGTATTTCTTTTTTCGGTTCTTTTTGCCTTTTTAACTCTAATTCTGGGACCAGGGAAAATATCTTTCATATGCTCTGAATATAGGGGCTTAGTGTGTTCTTCTGGTCCTGATTTCAAGGTCTGAGAAAATTTTTCCAGCTATAGGTTTGGGGACAAAGTGTCTCTTCCCCTAACTTGAGTCCCATTTTCAGTGTGTGTTTCTTTTACTGGATTGGGGTTTGGAGCCAAGTTGTTCAGGGAGTGAGTATGGGCTGCAGATCAGGGCTTTTCTGGGGCCTGGGAGATGATAGAGTGAATCCACAACCCCCTGTCAGGTCTTTTTGGAGGAGGAAAGGTACCAGATTCAGGCAGTGGGACCACCAAGAATGAAAGGGGGAAATTCCTACCTAACCAGACTGGACTGAGTGTGCCTAGCTAGCAGTCAGTCCAAGAAAGTTCACTGTGAGCAGTGAAGTCCATGGTGAGGTGCAGTCTCGCCAATCCTACAGGACAGAGTGGGGACACTAGACACTGAGTGACTTTCACCCAATTACTTGGTGATTATTTTAGGACAGCCAAGTGGAAAACTTACCAATCAGCCACTATTGGATGAGGGAATTGGGAGACAGAGGATTTGAAAGTATGGAAAAGGGCTGGAAGATTCCTGGCCCATCCACTCTCCGCACCAATGTGGAGAACCTCCCCTGCAAAGTGGGGGCTCCCTCCTGGACCCCATAATAGGCTCAAACCACACCCATGCACTTATTTTCACAGAGAGATCCTTTATGAAATGGGGGAGGGTTAAAATGACTGCTTTCTGACTAGGGAAGAAAACCAGCAGCAAATGACCTTAAAGGTGTAATTTTTAAGAAAAGAAAAAGGGGAGATCAGTGTTAGAATGGGCTAGGAAGCTGTGTTGTATTTTGATTGGGCATGTGAATTAGGTTGAAAGACCCTACAGACCCCCTCCTCAAAACCCGTAGCTCCCGGGGGGAACGTCCTGTTTGCTTTTAAAAAAATTCTCCGGATCAGCAGCCAGCCTGCTCCCGTAAGAACATCCCATGTGGCTGAGAGAGCAGGAGATAGAGATAGGAAGACTGCAAGGCAAGATGTCAACAAAGAAGGTTAGCTATAAGATAGGAACAGGATGATTGTTGCCAGGCATCCATGCTGAGAGAGGAAACCATTCATGCCCCCCGCCACATTCCGATAACCACGCTTTTGCTTCTGTAAACTTGCTTCTTGCTGACACCCATGCTGAGAGAGGAAACCATTCATGCCCCCTGCCGCATTCCGATAACCACGCTTTTGCTTCTGTAAACTTGCTTCTTGCTGACACCCATGCTGAGAGAGGAAACCATTCATGCCCCCGCCTCATTCCGGTCGACGGACAACCACGCTTTTGCTTCTGTAAACTTGCTTTTTGCTCTCCCCTATAAGAAGCCCGCCCTCCAGTTGGCAGGTGCGCAAATCTTCCGAGAGATCTTGCTGCCCACAGGTACCTGTGTCTACTCAATAAACCTCTTGCGACTTGCATCCGTGTGGTCTCGGCTTGTTCCTTGGTGTTGGGGAGGTCTCCTCCTTAAAAGAGGTCCTCGTCGAGGGTCTTTCAAGGTGAGCCAAAGAGGGTTGTTGATTTCTGGGCTTCAATACTTTGATAACTGGACCTTGGTAGTCGGCCTCAGGAGGAGGAAGTGGCCAAATAGGTGAGAGGACCTTGGTGGTCAGCTTTAGGAATGTAATTTGGTGGTTTTCAGCAAGGCAGAGGGAATAGGAGAAAAGAGCAAAGCCACATGGTCGAGTGGGCTAGTGTAATGCAGTTAGCATGAAACTACAAGTACTGGGTCATCAGTTACACACAAACACACATACATTCAGATTCACCCCTGCACACACACACACACATGCACACACACACACACACACACACACACACACATGCAAACTCATCCACAAGCATAGATGCATCAGGCACACAGCATTGTACCTGTTGTTGCCCCAGAAGGATGGTCTTTATCTTCTACAATTTTCTCTGTAACTAAAGAAAGGACCCCGAGCTCTTCTCAGAGACAGTGGAGGTGTCTTAGCTCTAAGGTGAGCAGATTTGGCTTTTTGCAGACTCTGTTCCCACATATGACCTTGACTCCCTCTTTCCTTGCTGGTCTCACTGTGAGATCAAGATTCTAAAAGAATAAACTTCCTCCTGTTACCCAGGGACAAAGGTGACTGCTCTCTTCTCTCCCCTCCTCAGTTCACAATACACAGGCAGAGAAATATGAGTCAGGGCTTCCGGGTGCTGAAGTCAGCTGCTCTGCCCCGGTTCTCCAACTCCTAGAATTGTGCTGTGACTCCCACAGTGAAACCAAGGAGGAGTTTATGGTCAGGGCATAGGCAGGACACCAGTAAGACTGTGACAGGATGTGTATGGTAGGGAGAAGGGATGGCTGTGTCTCCAGACAATCGGAGACAGAGCCTCCAGACAGTAGCATCAGCCCCTCTCCCACAGTCTCTGCTCACCCTACCATTCTAATCTGTCAGGGGAATAAATAAACCCAACTCTGGGGACTGAAATGCCACAGTCTGAGCAGGTAGACGTTTACTGTAGTGACTTGTACTTGTAGTGTGCTTTCCTGTAAACAGGACCAAGCGGTTCCCACCCTCAGAGATAGACTTCATTAGGGACAGGCCATGCCACCTGCTGATAGATCCCTTCTGCTACATGGCACAACGGCTGATCTGTGATCAAAAGTATTGAAGCACATTGAAATATATGTATATATTTAGATATACATTTTTTTCCAAGATAGGGTTTCTCTGTGTAACAGGCTGTCCTAGACCTCACTCTGTAGATTGGGCTGGCCTTGAACTCACAGAAATCTGCTTGTCTCTGCCTCCTGGGTGCTGGAATTAAAGTACACCACCACTGTCTGCCTAGGTATACATATCACATTTATGTAAAGGCTGGAATAAAAAATAAGGATTATAATGGGGATGAGAGGATGAATTTTACATGGAAACCTGGCCAGGTGGTACCACCCAGATGCACTAACCATTAGTAGAGTGAGCTGAAGCCGTATTTAGATGACACGAATTCTGAGTGAGGAGACACATTGGACAAACTTCTATATTGTGAATTACATCAGACAAGTCTTTGAAGAAGATCCTACATCACCAAAGAAGACAGGCTTCTTGCTCCAAGCTGTTTGGATACAAGTTACAGCATCAATTTCTCCATGCATGTCTGGGTTTTCAGAAAGAGAATGAGCTATGGATACAAGAGTATTATGTTTGGAATCTGAAATGAGTTCCACAGGCTCCTGTATTTCACGCTGCGGATGCTGGGGCGGGGCTGTTAGTGGGTCTGGCGCCCAGGACTGTGAATTCCCTGCCTCGTGTCCTCTAGCTCTGTCTGCTGCTTCTCTGTCGTCTCCCAGATGACCTTCTGCTTGGATGGACCCCACCGCTTCTGCCACCTGCCACCTCTGGAAAGTGACCTGCAGTTCTCTGACTCTGAGACGAAGCAGACCTCCCTCCCTCCTGTTGTTCTGTCAGGTGTGTGGGTCACCACACACAGAAGTCACTAATGTCAGTGTGGGGTGGACATGGACAGAGCTGTGAGAGAACACGGGCCTTGACCACTGCCTCTGGTTTTCTGTAGGATTCCAACACTGACCTAACATGTGCTTTATTTTTTGCCCCTGGGATGCCATGCCTGCATCTCTCCTCTTCTGGTTGGGAAGCTATCAATTCAGAAATTCCACAGGGGGCTTTAACCAAGAGTCCAGTCAGGTGTCTATGCGAGTTTCTTCTCTGTGGCTGTGACAAAATATCCTGCAAAGCAATGTAAGGCAGCCAGGGCTTCTCTCAGCTCTCAGTTCACGGTTGCACAGTCCTCAGTGGGGAGGACACAGCGGTAGAGGCCTGAGAGAGCTGGTCCTGTGGCAAACAGTCAGGAAGCAGAGAGGGGAAGAAAGCATTCATGTTCAACTACCTTTGCTGACTTTATGCAGTCCAGAATCCTCTGTCTTGGAAGCAGGACCCTGCCTCACACTAAGATGGTCTTCCACAGTTCAGACTGGCTGAAGGCATCCACAGGTCCGCCTGCTGCTCAGCTCAGACAGGCTGACAACACCCACAGGCCATCCTGGGTCCTCACAGTCTAGGCTTGCTGAAGGCACCGGGCTTGTACATGCCGTTATGATGAGCACATATATGGTGGTGAAATGGGAGAGAAAGAGAAGCAGAATGGTTCATGTGATGTGGGAAGAGGCAGAACTGAGGAAACTAGGCGGTGAGGAAAAGGCTGATATGGGTGGCCTGCTTGTCACCCAGGGCCATGGTGGTGTTAGGGCCCAGACTCCTGCCTAGGGTAATGTCTGAGTCCATGGTCCTTCCACAGCCAGGGTCTGTGTTGACATCCGTGACCCAAATTGCCACCAAAGACCACACAGATGCCCAGGGTCTAGGCCTCAACCTATGGCAATATCGGTGTCTGAGGGCCCTGCCATCACTGTGCCATGCCAATTTGAGTCGATTGTGCTGCCATGCCCATTCACGGTGTTGCCTGGGGCTGTGCCAAGGGCTATATCTGGGTCAACGGCCCTATAACAGCCAGGAACTGAGTAGACGTCTGTGGCTCTTGTTACCATTGTAGTCTGTGCAGATGCCCAGGGTCTGGTTAGCTATCTGAGATCATGTTGCTGTCTGAGGGTCATTCCACCACTGGGACCACACTGATCTGGGTGGCTTGTGCTGCCACTGGGGCCATGGTGACATACGGCCTGAGCTGCTGCTGAAGGCTATGTGTGGGCCATGTTCCTGCTGCATCTGGGGTCTGTGTTGATGTCCATGATGTCCATGGCTCATGTTATCACAGCGGGTCCTAGGAACCATGTGTGCTGAATTCTGAGGGCCTTGCTGAACTGGTCCCTCCTCTCACTGCCCCTGCCCCTTACTGGACACTGCATCAGGAGAGCTGATGCCACTTCTCATGGGAGAGCTCCCTCTGCACCCAGGGGGAGATTGCCCCACCTCACAACATGGGCATGAGAGAGCTAGCCCTGACTACATGGGCCTAGGAGACCTGGCTCCACACCTCTCCTGAAGGGGGAAGTCCCAGCGGTCCTGACTGAGGATCTTGGCTACCAACCAGACCCAGATCCTGGGCCTTGGGTTGGCCAACCTTTACATCTATCCCATGGTGGTCTGCTGGAGCATGGGAGGGGACTGGTCCTGCAGAACAAAAGTCACAGATTCTCCAAGACTTGGGGCAACATCAGGGCAACCAAGAGGAGGTTCTGTGAGGGTCCAGGGATGATGGTGTGCCAGAGGCCTTGCACTGGACCAATGACTCATTACAACGGTCATCTTTGGGTAGGGATGATTGGACAAAAGGTTATACTGTGGGACACAGCATGGCTCCCAGTGCCACTAGGTCAAATGAAGAGGTTGTAGAGAGATGGGAAAGAGGGAGAAGGAAGTGTTTTTTTTTTCTTTTGTTTTTTTTTACTTGTTTATCTGTTTTGTTCTTAATTAATTGGTGGGTGTTTCTTTTGTGGGAGACGCTGTAGGGGTGGGGGCAGATACCAAGGGACTGGAAGTCGAGACAGATTGGCATGCATGATGTGAAATTCCAAAAGAATCAATGAAGAATTATGTCTAAAAAAAGGCGGTTCTTCCTGGATCAGTGATAAATAACATGAGATAGAACAAAATAAAAGAATAAAGATAGCCTTTCATAGAGATTTCAGGCCCATCTCACATTCTGTCATGCTATCAGAAAATCCATAATCGACATGAACGGTCAGGAGGGTAGTGGGGCAAACCAGTCGTCAACAGCTCCATATCCTGGCCCAATCAAGGGAGAGCAAGTACCAACAGTACCCACGGGAAACTAGAGAAAAGAGGTCAAACGGGTTTTTCGTTTTTTCTAATGAGTGAAATAACAAGGAGAGACAGTTTATAATTAGAGTTTCAGTTGCCATTCACCCAGTTTGAATTTCCAGCTGTTTGGATTGGCTGGGGAAGAATAGGACATCTATCTTGAGTTGTGTGCACTGACTGGACCTACAGATGTTTGCTCGTGTTTTGTTGGTTTTTTTGTTTTTATTTTTGTGTTTTTTTTTCCCCAAGCTCCTCCTGGATGGAGCATGGCTAATGGCCACAGTCCCCTCTTGTGATGTGACTCCTATGTGGGACTTATACCTCTTAAGGTATAGGGTATAAGTTTATCTACACAGTGTTAAGCACCAGTGATGCCCACAAAGCAAAGTGACAAAGCAGACCTGGTTACGAGAATGTAGACCTGTGTGGAGACTTTCACAGGGGTAAAAAATCCAGGAGTCATTAGATCATAAAATCACAAATCAAGTCAATATTTTCATGTGTGCCTTACACACCATTTTAATGGAAAGGAGGTTTCCTCAGGCATTTGTACAATGTTGCTGATGGCTCTGCTACTCCAGCACATTTGAACACTTGCCACAGTGATCTTCTGGCTCCAGAAGAGGAAAAGGAGGAGCCCCCTGGTGCCCCTCAGACAAGGTTTGTTTCTCAGGTGTAGATTATGTTTCACTGTCCAAAGCAAGGCCAAAAGTAAACATTGATTGGAAGTTTTGCCTCATTTTCCCATCATTCCCAGTAATCGGGAGGCTTAGATATATATGGTCCCACCTTGTTTTCTAAAAGATCTTCCTTGTTGAGAAGAGCTATGGCATCATTTGCTGCAGCATCAATAAAGAGATTCTGCAAATAGTAAGACTTTTTGAAATAAATGCCAGCAGCAACTGGACCACCAGTAACTGAGGAAATGTGATGGATATATTTCCGCAGTTTGTCCTCTAAGGACTCATTGTTCATCTGTGTGAACAAATGGGGAAACCGAAGGCGTGCCTTGAGTGTGTTGACAGGTATGTTAAATTTCTTGGCAATGTTTCTCAGTGAGGCATCATCCAGGCCAAAGTAGGACTTGTAGAGATCGAAAGTTTCATCCAGGTTCTCTATGTCGTCCATGATCATGCCACCAAGTGGAATGGTGGCAAGTACTCCAGCTTTCAGGGCTTCTAGGAAGACTTTCTGCTTCAGGGAATCTCTCTTGAGGTTAATGATTTCCTCAGTAACACTGTTCAAAGACAGCATGAAGACATGGCGCTTGTGGGCTGGGAGCTCGCTCAGTAGGGTGGTCTGCAGCTCTGGGAAGTCAAAGTCGGACACATCAAAGTTAGAGACTAAGAAAATTCGAGGCTCACTGGAGAGAGCCTTCTGGAGATGCCTTGAACAGTCACCTCGGATTTTCATCAGGACTTTCTCCTTATTGAAAGTCTTAGGTTTACTCTTCTGTTCATTATCTACGTCAATATCTATCTTGGTTCGGACAAAGTAGAAATTCATCTTCATCTTAGTGATGGCTTTGGCTAGCTGGGCATCATTTTCTTTGAAGCGAGTAGCCGAGATGATAATGAAGAAGTCATATTGACCAAACTTCATTTCTGTTAGGTAGTTTTCTGGTGGGAAGGAAGTGGATCCAATACCAGGCAGGTCCCATAGTGTCACCTGGGGAAGCTTTGGGTGCAGGTACGGAATTCTTTCCCAGGTTGTCTCTGTCACCCCGGTGGGGGCTGCACCTATGTCTTCCTGCCCCACCCCTCTCAGGGCATTGATGAATGTGGACTTCCCTGTCCCTGTCTCCCCTGTCACAGCGATGTTCAGGGGGGCATTCTCGATGTCTCTCAGTGCATTGTGGATTACAGAAAGGGCTTTCTGGAGGTTGTTTGTCTCAGTGTAGGATTTAATCAAGATGATGTTTTCTTCAGAGAGGATTTGGCTTTCCCTCTTAAAATTCTTAAAGAATGCATCAAAGCTGGAGGCCCAAGCCATGGAGCTGAATGGAGCAGACAGGAGAGAAACTGTAATCATTAACAAAGCAGGGCAAAGCCTTGGTGTTTGCTGGTTCAGTAAATCAGGACCCTGATCCTGTCCCATTTCACATCCAGCATTGGCTTTCTTCTCTTCTCTTGGTTGCTGCTTCCCCTAATGACCTCCCCAGTGGGACATAACGAGGTCTCTTTCTCACACTTCACTTCCTCCTAGGAATTTCCTTGCACTACTTGCTCTAATTCAGACTCCAATTACTATGTGATCTTACCTATTGCCTTAACTATCAGTTTAAAGTCTCCTTTACATTCCTTTATTTTCATTAGAATGATACTCATACATGATGGCAACCCTAAAAGGACTTAAAAGAAGCAACACTTCTAGCAGAGTTCTCAACCTTATGTGAACATTGTGGACAGCCGGACACCCCATTCTTTGGGACCTCCCCAGTGGGACAAAACCCAGGGGCCTCTCCCCAATTCCCTCAGCTTTTCTAGCCAGCCAGCAGGAAGCTTTCCTGTGGCTGGGTTATCCCCCAACCCACCCCACTCCCAAACCCACCTTTTCACCTGCGAGGTCTGTGGAACCCTGAAACAGCTTGCTCCGATATTGAGGGGACCTGGGAAGTGAGTCAACAGCTATAAGTGCTGGACAGTTGGACGCCTAACTCTCTGGGACCTCCCTAGTGGAACAAAACCCAGGGGCCCCTCCCCAATTCCCTCAGCTTTTTCTAGCCAGCCAGCAGGGAGTTTTCCTGCAGCTGGGCTGTCCCCCACCCCACCCCCAAACCCACCTGTTCGCCTGCCTGAGAGCTCTATGGAACCCTGCAACACAGTTTGCTCTAATAATGAGGGGACCTAAGAGAGGGCAGACCAAGAAAAACTCCCAAGTACTTAGACAGCCACAGCAAGGATTGGACCTAGACACCAAGACACTGTCAGCCTCATTTGAAGGAAGAGATGGGTAGGCGCCAATGCAAGAATTCCTCCAACAAAAAATTGGAAGAAATTAATAAATCCCTCAAAGATACCCAAGAAAAACAAGAAAAAGCAATCAACCAGGAAAAGGAAACAGTTCAAGACTTGAAGACTGAAATAGAGGTAATTGGTGTAGGAGGGTCTTCTGTCTATGTGTTACTTTCATTGGTTAAATAAAGAGACTGCCTTGGCCTTTTGATTGGACAGAAAATTAGGTGGGTGGAGTAGACAGAACAGAATTCTGGGAGGAGGAAGGCAGAGTCAGAAAGAGCCACCCACCATGAAGCTGCCAGGTCAGACATGCTGAATCTTTCCCAGTAAACCATGAGCTCGTGGTGACATACAGATTATTAGAAATGGTTAAATCAAGATGTGAGAGTTAGCCAATAAGAGGCTAGCACCAATGGGCCAGGCAGTGTTTAAATGAATGCAGTTTCCATGTAATTATTTCGGGTATAAACTAGCCGGGAGCTGGGAGGCGGGAAAGTGACCTGCTGCTCCTCATTACTACAGGTAATAAAGAAAACACAAACCAAGGGAATTCTGGATATGGAAAATATGGGTAAGCAAACAGGAACTACAGAGACAAATATAACCATCAGAATACAAGAGATAGAAGAAAGAATCTCAGGCACTGAAGATACTATAGAGGAAATAGATTCATTGGTCAAAGAAAACGTTAAATCCAACAAATTCTTAACACAAAACATTCAGGAAATCTGGGACACTATGAAAAGAGCAAACCTGAGATTAATAAGGGTAGAAGAAGAAGAACAACTCCAGCTCAAAGGCACAGAAAATATACTCAACAAAATCATAGAAGAAAATTTCCCAAACTAAAGAAGGATATCCCTATTAAGGTATAAGAAGCTTACAGGTGCCCATCAAAATTTCAGCAAAATTCCTCAAAGACCTGGAAAGAACAGTACTCAACTTCATTTGGAAAAGCAAAAAAAAACCCAGGATAGCCAAAACAATCCTGGGCAATGAAAGAACTTGTGGAGGCATCACAATCCCTGATTTCAAACTCTACTACAGAGCTACAGCACTGACAATAGCTTGGTATTGGCATAAGAACAGACAGGAGGACCAATGGAACCGAACAGAAAACAAAATATCAATCTACACATCTTCAAACACCTAATATTTGATAAAGATGCAAAAATATCAAATAGAAAAAAGAAAGCATATTTAACAAGTGGTGCTGGCATAACTGGATATCAACATATAGAAAAATGAAAATACTCCCATATTTATTACCATGCACAAACTCAAGTCCAAATGGATCAAAGACCTCAACATAAAGCCAGGCACACTGAACCTTATAGAAGAGAAAGTAAGAAGTGCACTTGAATGCATTGGCACAGGAGACCACTTCCTAAATAGAACGCCAGCACCACAGACACTGAGAGAAACAATTAATAAATGGGAACTCCTGAAACTAAAAAGCTTCTGTAAAGCAAAGGACACAGTCAACAAGACAAAACGACAGCCTACATACAGAATGGGAAAATATCTTCACTAACCCCACATAAGACAGAGGTTTGATCTCCAAAATATACAAAGAACTCAAGAAATTAGACACCAAAAAATGGAGTACAGACCTAAACAGAGAACTCTAGGCAGAGGAATCTAAAATGGCTGAAAGATACTTAAGAAAATGTTCAACATCCTTAGCCATCAGAGAAATGCAAATCAAAACAACAACACCTGCAAGAATGGCCAAGATCAAACACACTGATGACAACTTATGCTGGAGAGGTTGTGGGGGAGAAGGGAACACTTCTGCATTGCTGATGGGAATGCAAGCTGGTATAACCCCTTTGGATGTCAGTGTGGCAATTTATCAGAAAATTAGGAAACAACCTTCCTCAAGACCCAATAATACCACTTTTGTGTATATATCCAAAGGATGCTCAATTGTGCCACAAGGACATGTGCTCAACGATGTTAACAGCAACTTTCTTTGTCATATCCAGAACCTGGAAACAACCTAATTGCCCCTCGATTGAAGAATGGATAAAAAAAAATGTGGTACATTTACACAATGAAGTACTACACAGCAGAAAAAAAAATAACAACAGCTTGAATTTTGCAGGAAAATGATTGGAGCTAGAAAACATTATTTTGAGTGAGGTAACCTAAACAGAAAGACAATTATCACATGTACTCACTCATAGGTGGTTTTTAAACATAAACCAAAGAAAGCCAGCCTACAAACCACAATCCCAGAGAACTTAGGCAACAATATGGACACTAAGAGAGATTCACATAGATATAATCTACATGAGAAGTAGAAAGTATAAAAAGACAAGCTCTCCTGAGTAAATTGGGAGCATGGGGACCTTGGGGAAGTATTGAAGAGGGGAGGGGGAGAGGCAGGAAGGGGAGCAGAGAAAAATGTAGAGCCCAATAAATATCATGGGAAAAAAATTAGATGCCTACATTCCCCTGAGTGATTTTCATTTAATTGGGTTGAGGTAGATCCTGTAATAGGTATTTTGATAAAGGTCCTTGGAGGATTCTAATGAGCCACCAGGACTGAGAGTCTTGAGTTTAGAAGTACAGCTGAGGATTTCACATCAATAAACCTATTTCATTAATGGTGTTAATAGAGAGAAAGGGTTAAGAAATTCTATCACTATGAAGTTTAGTGTGGGTAAAGAGGTATTTTAACACAGGAAAGCAAAAGTCAGTTTTCTCTTGTGGGATCAGTTTTTAAACTTGGAAAAATATTATTCTTGTTAAGGAAAAAAAAAGAAGCTTACAGGACACCAAATAGACTGAAACAACAACAAAAAAATCCCCTCATCATATAATAATCAAAACACAAAACATAAAGAATAAAGAAAGAATATTAAGAGCTGCAAAGGAAAAAGGTCAAATAACATATAAAGGTAAACTTATCAGAATTACACTTAACTTCTCAATGGAAACCATGAAAGCCAGAGGCCCTGGATAGATGTACTGCAGACACTAAGAGACCATGGATGCAAGCCCAGACTACTATACCCAGCAAAGCTTTCTTTCACCATTGATGGAGAAAACAAGATATTCCATGACAAAAACAGATTTAAACAATCCACAAACCCAGCCTTACAGAAAGTACTAAAAGGAAAACCTCAACCCAAGGAAGCCAACTACACCCACAATAACACAGACATCTGATAACCCTCCACCAGGATAACCCAAAGAAGGGAAACACATAAACACTACTACCGCAAGATAACTGGAGTGGACAACTACTGGTCATTAATATTGCTTAATATCAATGGACTCAATTCACCCATAAAAAGACACAGGCTAAGAAAATGGATATGAAAACAGGATCCAGCCTTCTGCTGTGTACAAGAAACACACCTCAACCTCAAAGACACACACTAACTCAGAGTAAAGGGTTAGGAAAAGGTTTTCCAATCAAATGGACCTAAGAAACAAGCAAGTGTGGCTATCCTAATATCTGACAAAATTGATCTCAAACTAAAATCAATCAGAAGAGATGAAAAAGGACACTTTATACTCATAACAGGAACAATTCATCAAGATGAAGTCTCAATCCTGAATATCTATGCCCCTAATACAAGAGCATCCACATATATAAAAGAAACGTTACTAAAGCTTAAATTGCACATCGAACCCCACACACTAATAGTAGGAGATTTCAACACTCCTTTCTCGCCAATGAACAGGTCAACCAGATAGAAATTTAATAGAGAAATAAGAGAATTAACAAATGCAATGAATCAAATGGACTTAACAGATATCTATAGAACATTCCACCCAAACACAAAAGAATATACCTTCTTCTAAGGACCTCATGGAACCTTCTCTAAAACTGATCACATACTGTAGGATATTGTCTCCAAATCACTGATTAGAGCTCACCCGACCTATTTCCTGCTTCATGAGTGCTGGTAGCTGCCAACCTCCCTGTGTACCCACTACCCACCCTTGAGGTGATTTCCTGTGCCTCAGAGATTTCAGGTTTCCCAGCATCACTGCCTGCAGGCATCTTGCCCACCCACTGCCTGGCCTGTCAGAGTTGCCAGCTGTCTACCCACCTACTCACCCAGGGAGGTCAGACCCCCTTTTGAGTCTTAGACATCCAAGTTCACCTGACCCCTGTTGACCATCCCATGTCTCAGAGTCTTCAAAGCCCACCAAATGCTTCCTATTATAAAATAAGTAAAAAGGTAAATAAATACAAAAGAAAATCCAACCACTGATCTAATCAAATTCAAACAGAAAGCTTGACTATATGAAAAACCAAGACAATTTGTCTGCTCTAAAAATCACAAACCCCAGAACTACAGCCTTCATGAGAATGACTTAGATAAAGTTCCAAATGAAGAATTCAAAAGGATGATGTAAATGTGACCAAAAAAATGGGGACTCAAACAATTAGCTGAATGAAAGAGAGGTCAACACAGAGCATGGAAATGGAATTCAATAATGAGAAATACTGATCAAAGCCTTGATTTAAATGACTGGAGATGAAAAATACATTAAAGCAAATGCTCAGAGCAAAGACTCAGCATCAGAGCCGATCATATGGAGGGGGGAATGTCAGGAGCTGAGGACAATGTAGAGGAATTGGAGGATTTGGTCAGGGAAGACCACAAAAATTGAAAAATCTATGAACAAACCATGTGTGACCTTTTGAACACCATGAAATGTATTTGCATAGAAGGAGAAATCCATTCCAACAGCGCAGAAAATATTCTCAACCAACCATAGCAAGAATGTCCCCAAGTTTAAGGAGAGAAACGCACATCCAGACAGATACACGAGGATTGTAGAACACCAGATATACAGGGCAGAAAAAGAAACTCCTGAAGTTACAGTTAAACTGTGAAAATTCAGGGCCAAATGTTCTGCAAACTGGCAGAGAACTAGCAGGAAGTGTAAAGGTGGAGCCATCAGAATAACAACTGACTGACAGCAGCAGATTCCTGAAAGCCAGGGGGTCAACAGCTCTGCCAGACACTGTGGATGGCTGTTTCTCATCTGGGATTTTATCTCCATGGGGTACCACAGAGACTCCAAGAGCATCTGGGTATCCCAGCTTGCTGTCTTCCTTCAAGCTTGACTACTTCAGAAGACCAGCTAGGTCCACACAAGCAGGGAGAAGGAAGGGCTGCTGCTTCTCTGCTTTGGGATGCTTTTGGCACAGAAGATGGCACAGAAGGATGCTACTGTGCCTGCTCCCTGAGTGAAATCCCCAAGCCCCCCTGCCCCGGAATCAGTGCTCCCCTCCTCATGTTATCACACATGTAGGGCTATTGGGCAAGCTGAAGTTAGAACCCTTCACTCACCTCAGCAGTGGTGACCTTGATCTGAGCCTCTGGGAAAGCTCTCCTCTTAGGAGAGGTCTGTTGTGCACTGCAGCAAGGACAGTTCCCTCAGAATGATCTAGAACTGGAATTCAGACTCAGGAAAAAAAGCGTTGAGTGCTGGAGTTTGAGTCCTAGGGAGAACTGCAAAGAGAAAGATGGGGCACTTGTGATGGGCAGCCAGGTCTTCCCCAAGTTACTTCATCATTTCTGGTCTCCACCCACCCTTGCTGTGTACAGTTTCCGGACTGGACAAGAGCTCTCTTCATACAAACCACCCCCAGCAATGGGGCTGCACTCAGAGTTGCTTTCAGTTTCTATTCCTAGAAATGGCTGGTTTGCATGAAACACTTAGGAGGTCCTTTAGAGAAGGTCTCAGACGGGTCAAGCTGTTTTAGTCTGTCTTACTAAGTCTGTGGCGTGCCCACGAGGGCACAGTTCATGGTAGAGAATCTGGGTCTGACCCTCTGGATTCCCCATTGGAGACTGCTAACTCAGGTGTGGGCATCTAGCCCTGGGCAAGCTACCCTTCTGCTGGGGGTCCCAGGTCCGTTAGAAATTTACGAGCCTGACTTCAGTCTAGGTTTTAATGAATTATAGACCTTTAATTAAAAAGACACCAGCCAGGAGCAAACCCGGGTGTTCTCTAGGTAATGCTCTGGTTATTGTTAGTCAGTGGAGTATAAAGGAAAAAAACCTTCAAAGTTTTAATTTGAGGAGTCAAATAACACATATTCCTGTCTGGGTGTGAACAAATCTTTTATCTTGTAACAGTTATCCTGCAGATGCTTCAGCCGTCCAAACAAGTGTTTCCTACAAAAGCAGAACTTAGCAGTTAGCCTGTTTATTCTCCAACCATTACCTTGTAGGAACAGAAGAGGAAGTGAAATGTCCAACGTTCGACGTTCTCTCTCTCTGTCTCTCTTTCTTTCTCTTTCTCTCCTTCCTTCCTTTCTTTTTCCCCAAGAATATCCTGTTTGGGTTAGCGCCTCACCCAAGTCCCTGGCATTCATATACCCCAAGAGTCTGGAATGTTTGGGTTAAGGCTTCACCCCAGCCCCTGGCATCCATGTATCTAAAGAGTCTGGAATGTTTGGGGAATAGTACCATCCCAAGCCCTCTCCCCTGGGAGTTGACTCAGTTCAGACTCCACCCCTAAGAAAGCCTGCCATATGATGGCGCCTCCTGAGAGATACTCAAGACCACACCCAAAGGGTATTTAAACTGTCCCCAGAGAACAAACACGTGGTTTTCTGGTCTTCCTTCCCCAGCTCCTCTCTGGGGTGCTGGAAAGTCATCTGGGAGTGTTGTTATGCATTAAACCTGGGCTTTCTCTAATTTGGTTTGATTTGGTCTGATATGGATTATTGCCTTGGCGGAGGGGCTTGTTGAGGTGCAGAAACTTTTCATAGCCTAACTGTTTCAGGAAGTGTTCTGTCTGGGTCTAGCTGATAGGGCACATTCAAGGCAGGAGCAACTTCCTCATGGTTTATACAAGCTAAGAACAATTTTATTTTTACATGCTTAAAATGGTAAATTGATCCTCTAAACACAATGTTCACCATCATACTTCAAACCCAGCAAGTCCTGGCTGTGAGATGTCTACAGACCATCATGGTGGCATTGTTCACTGAGACCTTGCCTGCTGTGTTTGCTCTCTGTGTCTACTTGCTTGTTTGCTGTAATCTGACCTATCGGCCGTCTTCAAACAAGAAAACATAGGAGTGATGAAGGATGCCTGGTCAGAACCTTGGCCCTGCACCATGTGTCTCAGTGTGGAAGTGTGTCTGATGCAGGTGATGGGGGAGACCACAGTCTCCTAACAGCCTGGAGTCAGCTGAGCAGACAGCGAACCAAAAAAAAAAAAAATCCCTCTTTGCTTTTCCTTCTTTGCCAGCTCTCCAACTCTTCTTCATTTGTTCTGATGGCATCGGGAGCAGTGTGTCACAGAGCACACCCTTTTGTCCAATCAGCTTCACTTGTTGTTCAGTGCATTAACTCACTGTTCTGGTCCAAGGCCTCTGGTTTCTGGTACACCATCATCACTGGGTCCTCACTGCATCCCCAGAAACTCCTCTGGGATATCCTGTGACTACTTCTAATTGTGGAGATCCTGTGGGTATCATTTCACAGGGCCAGTCTTTTCCCGAACTCCTGCAGGTCCTAGATGGGGCAGATGTTAGCATGGGTCAACCGAAGGTCTGGCTATGGGCCTACGTGGTAACTGACCTGGTCAGTCTGAGTCACTGGAGTTGCCTGCTTCAGGTGAGGGGGCACAGCCAGCTCCCCAATGCCCAAGCCATCAGGGTCAGCTCTCCCTCGCCTGTGATGAGGGGTGGGACCACCCTTCCTGAGTACAGGGGCCAGCTCTCCAGCAAGGGCTGGGATCAGCTCTATTGCTGTAGTGTTCATTGAGAGGTAGGGGTAGTTTCCCCAGGGTCAGTGAAGGGTAGGGTCGTCTTAGCATGACCCTCTATTTTCATCATGCCAGCCTGGTCCTATGGCCCTCTGAGGTTACACAGGTCACGATGTCAACACAGACCCTGGTTGTAGCTGGGCCTCGGACCCAGTCATAGCCCTTGGCAGCAGCCCAAGCCTGGACAACACCAGGGCCCTGGTTGGTAACACAGGCCACCTAACCAGCATGGATCCAGCAGTGATACAGCGCTTGGACACCTCCATGGCCACAGGTGGCAGCCCAGGCACGGGGCATCCTGTGGTCCTTGGTGGCAACATGGACCGTGGATGCCCACACAGACTCTGGCTGTGGTAGTACCATGGACCCAGACATGGCCTTTGGCATCAGCCTGGGCTCTGATGTCATTCTGGCCCCAGGAGGCAAGCATGCCTCCCATATCAGCCTACTCCTCACCGCCTTCATTTCTTCCATTCTCTGCCTCTTTCCACAGACCTGAACCATTCTGCTTCTCTTTCCTTCCCATTTCTCTACCACAAATTTGCTCATCATAATGGGACCCACTTGGCCAGTGCACATGACACTAGGTGGGTGGTGGATGTCTTCTGCCAGCCCGGACCTTGAGGGCCCTGACTGAACCTGGGGGTGGCTAGAACCCACCTGAGAATTGCATCAGGGAGGCGTGGATTTCTTACCGTCAGCTTGGGCCTTCTGTACTCATTTTTTTTTCAACTGAAGATTTTTGCAGCTATTTTCATCAATGATATTAGTTAATATTCTGACATTTTTACCTGAGTAGATCTTGTGTGGGTCTTAATAGAGTAACCACGGCGACCGTGAGCTCATAGGTGCAACAGCCGTCCCAGGTCCAGGGGACATTTTTCACTCCTCCTCCTTATCCTCCAGCTCTTAGAGGTTTTCTTGCAGCCCTTCTGTGATCTTCCCTGAGCCTTAAAGATCAAGGGATGATCAATGTAGGTGCTCCATCTACAGCAGACCTTCCTAATCACTTTTTCCTAGCACTTTGAAGAGTAAGAATCTCTGCAGTTACTAACACCCACTAGAATAAGAAGATCCTTTGCCTAAGGCTGAGGGCGGCACACATCTGAAAATACGAATATAGATATTTAGAAGGCAGTTTGGCTGCTTAGGAAAATAGTAGGTCCTCCCTTTGGACCAATGAGCTCTCTAACCTCCTCCTCCTCCTTCTTCTTTTCAGTTTTTTGAGACAGGGTTTCTCTGTGGCTTTGGAGCCTGTCCTGGAACTAGCTCCTGTAGACCAGGCTGGCCTCAAACTCACAGAGATCTGCCTGCCTCTGCCTCCCAAGTGCTGGGATTAAAGGCATGTGCCACCACCACCAGGCTTCTTCTTCTTCTTTTTTTACTTTTAAAAAACCATTTTTTCAGTACCAGATGTAAATTCCTTCTGCGGAACAGGCCTCCAATCCAACGGAGAGCTGTTGGTTACCCCCATAGGCAGTCTTGCCACTATTCCACCAGTGGGAGTGTTTGTCTGCTTGGCTGGATTATCAGCAAGGTCTAGGCAACTTAGAAGAACACACTGTCCTATCTAAGACCTAGAGAATGAACCCAGGCGACAAGAGGCTTGTGGCTGTAGTTGTGAAAAGATATGCTCACAGCACCAGGGGAGGGCTGGTGAGGATGAGGAACTTCTTATGCTCTCTCCCCTCCTCCATCAGCAATCTCTACATCTACAAGCCTCCAATATCCAGGGAGCCCACGCAGGTTCCCCACAGCCCAGCAGCTGGACCCTTGTATTTTCTTCAAGTTCTACCATCCCCTCTGCTCCTCATGGCCTTCCTACTCACTGAAGAAGGATCAAAGGGTGTACCCAGACTCCTCAAAGTTCCACCTCATGTAGTACTATGAGCTCCCCAGAAACACCCCATTCTTTCATTGTGTGATCTGATCCCTGATCTTGAGTTGTCTTGATGGCTCTGGACTCTGTAAGACCCCGCGCTCATGTGTGCCCTTGGGTTGAAGTGAGGGTAGTCAGTCATAGCGCTCCTGAAAAGACAGACAATGAGGCAGGGCAACGTGTTTCCCTCATTTACTGGTGTTTTTGGAACCTTCCCAGCGTTCATCCTTGTCCCCAGGACTCCCTTGGCTTCAGAGAGTTCATTCCTCAGGTGTCTTGGCCAAGGGACCCCCTCACATGACTCTAGGGAACCGCCTTCCTGACCCAGAATAGTCCAGCTTTCTTTCCATCTTGAAGTCATAAACTATCCATTTTCTCTTTCCCGGAACTGTTTATGCTGCCAGAATGCACATAGGGAGGTTAAGTTTCACTTCTATTTCCTGCAAATGCCTACCCTCCAGCCAGCTCCGCCTATCGACAGAGACAGCTGTAGAACCCTCCTCTCTGTACACTGGGCTCATTGCTCCAGACTCCACAGAGTCTCCCCCTCCCACCTCTGCTCTCCTTGATACTTCCCTCAAGAAGGGCAGCTCTGTGCAGCTTTTGGCGACTGTGCTGTGGGCTGCAGCGAGCAGCAGACTCAGTGCTTTCTATTTTCGTGGAAACTTTGGCCCTGGTTATTTACAGCAGAAACTCTTTGGAGCTGGTGAGTGAGAAAAGCCTTTGCCTCGGTGGTGACCTGGGTGTCAGCTCTGTGGGCTGAGGGCAGAGCTGGCTTGGCTAAGCAACAAGTCATGTCATCATCTTTATCCAGAAGGGAGTCGTGGGTTTGGAGCTGCTGTTTGGTGCTGGTGGTGCTATGGAGTTGTGGAAAACTTTGGACCGAGCAGAATAGTTATGGGTGACTCTCCCGGAATCCATGAAGTTCTTACTGTGAAACGGC